TGCCCATCATACCTGCCTGTATCCCCTCATCCAAACCCAGTGACGTGGCAGTTTAAGAAATGAGTCGTCTCCATGCCAGGAAAGAAGAATCATGCTTTTATTTATAAATGTTGCCAGTCTCTGCCAGAAGAAAAAGGAATGCCTCTTCCCAGAGACATGATAGCACCTATTACAAAAGAACACTGAGCTTCTGAGCCAAAATACCTACATTCATATTCCTTCTCAGTTTTCTACAAAATGATGAGAGGTCATTTGCTTTAGATTTCTGAACTAAGGAGCCTATTCAAGAGTTTCTTATGAAGAAACAATTTCTGCACCAAAGGGGAATTCAAGTCTCCAATTCCTAGGAGACAGAAAATTGGTCGTAGTTTTCAAATCACTCCCACAGACTCCTCCACTCCTTTCCCACTTCTGCCTCCAAGCTTTCAAAACTTTCAGAGCCCAGTCTAAGCAAAGGCTTGCAGCTTGAGCCTTCCACCATCTGCATCTTCTCCTACAGCACTGGGGAAACCCAATTCAGCGTGATGACACAGAGCCACCAAGAAAACCTGCTCACAGTCTTTGGTGCTATCAGCAGGATATTGGATTCCTGACCTCTGAAGCCAAGATGGCCTTATTGTGACCACATGGACAGGCAAAGGCAGTGATAAGATGTTGCTTCAAGGGCTTATACTGCTACAGGGGAGAGGAGCACCCCAGACCCCACAAATCTGCCTGCTCTTAATAGGTTCTGCCATCCGCTGCATCAACACAAAAACATGAGACTTTGTTTTTTTTAAAGATGTATCTATTCATGCATACAACACCAGGGTATAGGCCAGATGCGCAGGAGGGTGAGAGGATTCACCAGAGACAGAGCGGGGAACAGAATAGGCAGACTGACGAAATACATTGCTGAGGGGAGCAGCGGGCGAGATAGGAGAGGTCTGCTGCGCCATGTGGAATTTGCATGGGCCGGCAGGGATGGAACCCACGCTGCAGAGGCTGTGGACAGCTTCACAATGTGGTGCTAAAACACCTGCGCCACCAGGGGAGGCCCAAAAAACATGAGACTTTAATGAAAAGGAACTTTAATACAATTAGTAAACAATACAGGAAAGGCAAAGGCATGTAGTTTCTAAATCAAGCACCCAAAGTTACTCGTCCCCTTGTGGGTAAAAGTCCACCCAAACAGGATTGGCCCAGAGCAAGGCCCCAAATCCTGCCACAAGTCTAAAGCACCTTCCAGCGGGGACCCACAGAAAAGGATCAGAAACAATCAGACAAGTCTGGAAGGAAAAGAGCAAAATCAAAATCAAGATAAAAGATACCATTGTTATCCTCCTGTTATTAAAAGATACCATTGTTATCGTCCCCACGGGTCTCTCACCCACATCTGTTTCAGGACCAAAAGGCAAGCGTAGTTTCTTCACAAGTCTCTCTGCTCCATGTGCCTCCTTCAGGTCTCCTTCTGACTCTCCATCCTGCTTCCTTTCTTCCCAATCTCTGCAGCTTCTTCTCTCCCTACTCAGCTCCACCCTCCCTTGGGTGGGGCAGGAAACCTGGAATCTCCCCCCACCCCCTCCACCTCTGGGGACCACCCTGTTACAATACTACCAGTTGTATGACCTTGCCAATATTTATCCAAGGGTCTTTCTCAGTACCAAATTCTCCTGCAGCAGTGGGTCTTCCCCAAATTCAGGGATTTTGAAAAGTATAGATTAGATTTTACACTGTAGAATGTGTTCCCTGCCTCCACCGCCCCAACTGTAATAGCTTTAGACAACTTAGAAAAAATTTTTCCCTCCCATCGCCCTGCCTCCCTCCCCTTTCTTTGGTCAAATTGTCTGGATAACTTCTTCTACAAGTAGTAATTAGGGTTTCCAGATATGAGAATTTGTTGCTGTTTTTCTTTCTCTTAAAATGCTTGGAAAATAGCCTAGAGGATACTTTTGCTGTTATCAGTGAGAAACACTTTGATGTCCTCAAAGATCAACTTAAACTGAGCCTCTCAAGAAAGACTTCATGTAGGAGCGAAAACAATGAATTCACAGAATTTGTCCCATATACTTGGAACACAGTCCCTTTTGCTAACCTGTCTGATAAGTTGGGAAATAAGCACCCTCATTTGCATAACCTCCTTGCCCTTTGTGTTTCCAGATGGCACTGCTCCAGGGATGCAGTTTCCATATGAATGGAGGCAAAGCCCACAAATAAACACCAGAGACTTACTGGATATAGATTCTTTAGATTGTCCAGGGGGGTTTGGTTTTCTCATCTCTTACAAACTTGCAAAATGATCTAATATTTGCAAATGTGTGTTCCTTTTTTGGCAATTCAACAGCACTCAGTTAATTTAGAAAACATTTATGAATTACTTGTACGTCTACTGCCTAGATGCTCTCCTATTGGCTGGTGCAGGGATTAGAGGGACAGCTCTGCCTTGGAGAAGAAGCAACTAAACATTAAATCCTGTTCCTAATAGGTTGAGCACACCAGGTTCAGTGACACTGTCTTTTCTGTATCTCCTTTACATCTCTTTAATACAGGGTTGAGGACATAAATAGGTGATCAATAAGTAGTCTCACCATGGTTTTCTACAGTTAAAACTCCCAATGATCACCAGCCAAAGTCTGAAGGAAACCAGAGCTCATTTCTGTCACTATGAGGATGACGCCTTACATGGTAGGAAGTACATGGTAGGAAGTGATGACAGAAAAAAAGCTGAGAATACTTTGGGTGGTTGTGATCAAAAGGATATTTGAATAGCCAGAAACAATAAATAAATCGGCACTGAGTTGTTTTTTTTTTTAATCTGAAAAAACACAAATAATTAGGAGATTTGAATATCATTGAAAATAGTTTTTGTGTTGAATTCACATCCTTAATAGTTTTCACTCAAAAATGATGCTCATCAGCTACATAGGTATCAACTCATTAGTTCTTGGAGTTGGGACAGGACCACAGAGAAGGAAATAAAAAGCCTTCTGAGGCAGTTGCCATTTTCTTTGCATATAGAATCTGACTCAAAACCTGGCCCACAATTATTTATTGTCTCTGTAGTTAGGAATCACCTCTCAAGAACAAGGCAAATTCCCAACTGGGTTAAACCCAAATTAGCACAGCTCTGCCCCTAAGATATTTAAAAGTATGCAAAGAGAAATGACCACTGTCCTCATGCTGTAATTTCAAATGGCAAATACTTTTTACTGTATAGAGTTTTTAATGAAAAATTTTTTAAGGCAAAATGGAAAAAAACAACTGCTTAGTGAGGCAGAGTTAAAATATTCTGCTAAACAGCACTGATGGAACAGATAGAACCTTTGGGCTACCAGTTTATGAACACACAACTAGTGGTACAAGACAGGTATATTGTCCCAGATTCATGGCCCAGAAAAGGATTTTATATTTAACAATAAACACTTTATGGAAAATCATTTTTACAATATGTGACTAAGGGGAATAAAAAATTGTATATAGCAGAATCTAACACAGACACTCCCTGGGACTTTCACTAGCTTTCTCACAGATGCTGGCACACCATTTCTTTCCCACTTACATTTTATAGTAGGGGTCTTGGTTTTCTGGCTGAAGCTTTCAGATTTGTTTATCAAATGAATTCCAGTCCTAGCAAGGACATCTGGTGAACCTGACAGTATGACTTCTGGAGACAGATTCTGCCAGGAATAGCAGTCTTATTTGGGTATTTTTTTTTTTTTTCTGGTTGAAAACTTCATGCTTAAAATTTAGTTTCTTTTATCTTAATCCTGGTTAATCACAGTTAGTTGAGAGGAACCTGACAATATCTGACACCTTTCTGGGAACAGTGGGGTCGCAGTCCTTAACCTACACGTAGTGTTTTACACACAACCATGCAAGCACAAGTAGAAAAGTCAAGGTTGTCCTTTATGCAAAGCCATCCTGTGTCTCCACCCACTGCCATGGAAACACATTAGCTGGTGAGTGCCAGTGAGTGCTGTGGTGGGTGAGTGTGTTGTGAGTATGTGTGAGTAGGTTTGTGAAAGTGTTGAACTTGCATTAACGCATATATGTATAGTTGTATATTTGTGAGTGCTTGGGTATGAGTATGTATTTACGTATGCTGTGTGTGTAGAAATGTGTGTTTGGCTGAGCGTATCAGTGTGTGTTTAGTTGCCTGTGTATTTGTACATGGGTTTGCAATTGTGTGTGCAGGAGTGCAGATTGCGGTCGTATTTGTATGTATGTTAAGGTGCATTTTTGTGTCTATGTGCGTTGTGTGTGTATTGGTGCAAATGTCTTTGTGCGCACGCTGTGTGTTGGGACGACATCTGTGTCTGTTTTTGATTGTATGAGTGTGAGCGCTGTGGGTATTTGTTCAAATGTGCGCATCGGTGTGCTGTGAGTGCGTGCCGGGTGCATCTGGGAGCGTCTACATGTGTGTGTGTGCGCGCCGCGTGCGAGCGCGCGTGTGAGCGGCTGTGTGCTGCCGCCGCGCGCCTCCAGCCACCTCCCTGCGACCCGCCCCAGCGCGGCGCGGGAGCCCAGCCGGCGCGGGTCCCGGGCTGGCGAGGAGCGGCGCGCGCGGAGGAGAGCGGGCTGCGCCGCCGCGCCGACTTTGCCCTTTAAATCGGTCCCCAAGCCGCTCGCTGCTGACCGCCCACGTGACGCGTTACCTTCTGTCTCCCGGAGCGAGTGGCCCGAGGACAGTCCTCCTCAGGCTGCCGCGCGCCGCGCCGCCTCAGCCCGACGCGGGGGCCCGGGTCCCCGCAACTTTGGGACGAAGCAGCGGGCGGCCGGGCCGCGCTCCGCTCCCGCGTCGGGCTGCAGGGCCTCGCTCGGCCAGGAGGGCGGCGGTCGGCCGGGAGGACGTTCCCTGGCCGCAGCCCGGAGCCCCTCGCCCTAGCGCGGCGCGGCGCGGTCGGGCCGGCGGGGGGCCCTGCACGCTGCGTCGGGAGAGAGGGCGCCCTTCGCCAGACCAGACCGGAGCGCGAGCGCCCTCGGGGAAGTCGGCCCGGAGATGGCCGAGAGGCTGGGGTGAGCCCCGCGCGCCCTCGCCATGCAGAAGAGCGTGCGCTACAACGAGGGGCATGCCCTGTACCTGGCCTTCCTGGCCCGCAAGGAGGGCACCAAGCGCGGCTTCCTGAGCAAGAAGGCAGCCGAGGCGAGCCGCTGGCACGAGAAGTGGTTCGCTCTCTACCAGAATGTGCTCTTCTACTTCGAGGGCGAGCAGAGCGGCCGCCCGGCGGGCATGTACCTTCTGGAGGGCTGCAGCTGCGAGCGGGCGCCCACGCCGCCCAGAGGTGGTGCCGGGCCTGGGGGCTCCCGGGACGCGCTGGACAAGCAGGTACCACACGCCCGCCCTCCCTCCCGGGCTTCCGAGTCTCCCGTCGCAGTTCTGTCCTGCGCTCCTAACCCCGGTAGGGCTAGGGTTCGAACCCCCGCAGGAACCTGGCCCCCAGGTCGATGTTTACCTGCCGTGTCAGTGGCGGGACGTCCTCGCGGGCTCCCCACCGCCACCCCTCCCTTCGCCCACACCTCCCAGGTGATGAGTTGAAATAGGTGTTCGGTTTTATTCCTTTCACCACCCTGCAAGCGGCCAGGTCGTTTCCGCTTCTTTGCTAACCTTTGCTTTGCTTCTCTAGACCTTGTTCGGAAGGATTTAGTGTGGTGACGTGTGCTGACACCTGTTGGGTTTAGATTGGCAAGACGGAACTTATTTAGAAAAGTTTGGTTTCTCCCTTCCCAGGCTGGTGCGCGGAGGTTTCTTTGCCTGCAGATGTTTGATGCCTGGCTGTGCAGGGAACCAGCAGGGCTACCAAGACTGGCAGGCACTTTCTGGTGATCATTTTCAATCTGTCTTTGTGGTTTATGTCAGTTTACTTTACTAACGTGTAACCTGCTGGGTCTAATTATGAAGGTAAAAGTGTATCCATTACCCTCATGATTAATGTTTGGTAGCCACATTCCTGCTATGTTTAAATTTGTGGGCATTTAAAAAGAACACTTGTGTGTGTTTAAAAATGGATACTTTGAAAATGAATGTGACCTTTTAATTCTGGGTCATAATTTTATTACTTTCGCTGTGCGCACACTAGCACAGAGATGTAGTAACCCCTCCCCACCTTCCCCCTCCCCCCTCGCATTCCTGCAAATGAGAAGTCTGTATTTTTTCAATACCGTTTGGTTATTAAAGTTAAAGCGGACTAATTTTGTGCTCCCAAATGTTCTCACTTCGTTTCTAGACCTCCACCTTTAGAAAAAATAGGCTGATTGTCTTTGCTGTTGCATAAAAATATTTTGCAGCTGAATTTTCCGTGCAACTCAGACCAAACATCTTCCATTGCGAACCACTGAGGGCGGCTGTGGGAGGCGCTAGGGATGTAATGATGAATAAGTCTTCATAAGCCCCGGGGGCTTATAAAACAATGTGTAAAATTAAGAGGAGTTAAAACTAGATCAACTAGAAGTTTGATTTTTTTAAACTCTGTTTCACTATAAATCATTAGCAGACTTTACTGATTAAATCTGTTCTGTGAAGATTAAATCTGTCTGTGAAGCTGAAATTTTAAAAAATGCCTTTTGGTATGTACGCTTGTTAAATGTCATTTGAAAAACTGACTTTCAATTTTGTAGATTTAGATTCTGGGAATATAAGTTTAAATTTCAAGTCATCCATTTTAGAAGAACATCCATTGAGAAGAACAAGTATTTTGTAGGATCAATTTTTAAAAAATCATTTCTATCGGTGAGATTTTTAAAATAGGTATTTGTTCCAAGGCTGCACAGGAACCACAACTAATAGATGTTTAAGAGCTGTTATGTCCAAAGTCTATAATAAAATAGGGTACTTTAAATTACTCTGAAAATATGTCATTGATTAATTCCAAATTATTTTTTCTCTCTGTATTTACACCGATATCAGGAGATAGCCTTTTTTTTTTTTTTTTTTTAATTGGGGAAGTTGTTACCTCTTGCAACTTATTTGGCTGTCTGACCAGTTAACCTATGAAAACCAACATTTTCTACTTGGAAAACATTCAGACTCTCATCTTCAGGACAGTCTTCTTTAAATCACATTTATTCTCTAAACCATCAAGAAATATAACTGCCAAATAGGTGTATTATTTTTTCCCCTTTGTTTATCAACATACAAATTCTGAGTACTTCTCAGTTATTTTAATATACCTCTGTGAAGTTAGAAATGAGAATCTTTGGTATTTGTAGATAACACTGAGATATAGAGAAGCAAGCATCCCCGAATGGGTTGGGAGTTGAATTGGGAAACTTTTCAAATTTTGTCTCTCCCTCTCTTTTTTTTTTAACATTTATTTATTCATGCATACAAGAACGGGGGTACAGTCCAGATGTGAGGGAGGGTGAGAGGATTCACCAGAGACAGAGTGGGGAGCAGAACAGGCAGACTGACGAAATACACTGCTGAGGCGAGCAGTGGGCGAGGCAGGAGAGGTCTGCTGGGCCAAGTGGGATTCTCGCAGGCTGGCCAGCTGGGATTGAACCGGCTGCGGACAGCTTCACCGTGTGGTGCTCAACCGCCTGGGCCACCAGGGGAGGCCCTCAAATTTTGTCTTGTGTTAAATATACTTCTGTGATTTGTGTTAGCTTAGCAGATTGATACTTTTCTCCAGCCTTGCCTGTCTGGTTGTGATTGAAGAATTAAGAAGAAACTTTGACTATAAGAACAAGAAACAAGGTTTATTCTACTTTAAAAAAAGATTATTTATTTGTCTATCTATCTATCTATCTGTCTATCTATCTATCTATCTATCTATCTATCTATCTATCTATCTATCTATCTATGCATAGAAGAACTGGGGTGTAGGCCAGAGGTACAGTGGGTTGAGAGGACCCACTGGAGACAGAGTGGAGAGCAGAACAGGCGGATCTCTTGAAAGACACTGCTAAGGGTAGCAGCGGGCCAGACAGGAGAGGTTTGCTGCATCACATGTGGGCCAGCTCCATGGTGGAGGATTGAACCCAGGCCTCAGGTATGATAATGTGATAGCGCTGAGACCTAACCCCGATGTCACCAGGGAGGCCCAGATTTATTCTACTTTGAATCTATAGTTTTTGCAGTAGGTCTGCTTTAGTCCCTTTGTGTTGTGAAGGTAAACTCAAATTACCTCAAGCCCCAAAACATTCTTGACCTGTAAAACTGGTGAGGTAGAGAGCAATACAAGGCACTGACTGGGAACCATCTTAACATCTGCTTGTCCAAGTATACTTCTGGAACTTTCCTCATGTATGTATCCATTAGCCCCATAAACATAATTGAAGGGCTTGAAACAGGACTTAGGGTGGCAGAGTGTGTTTCCTCCACCATGTTTCTGTGTGGTATCTTTACCCAAATCTTTTAACATTTCCTCAACTTTTGTCTTTTTTTTCTCTAATAAAATATTTCTTAACATGTAAAAATTAAGTGTGGCTAAGATGATTTCCAAGTTGCCTTCCAATAATGACATCTGTTTCTAAGGTTATAAATGCTGAGAGGAGTATGTGAAAGACAATTTCACAAGATTTAAATATTACCTGTCTCTGAGAAACTAAACAAGCAGGTGATTGATGTGGACATTCTGTTAAGTCAGTTAGGTGAGCAGATAAGAAAAGCCTATGATAACAAGATTAATATGTGAGAGACATTTTTATCATTCACCTGGAGGGCATCACATTGTAATGTTACCATACAATAGTTGATGTAATTGTCCCTGTATAATGCCTCTAATTGTTCTATCTCTCCTTCAAATAATTGTAAATACACTTTAAAATTATGATTTTAGGTAATTTATAAGAAGGAAAACCTCACTGGTTTAATCTATATATAATTCAAGTTCAGTTGATTGACAAAAGAAAAAAATTAAGCTTGTTTTTTTTTTTTTTAACTTTCTCTTAAACTGTTTCCAGTTAAGAATAAAAAGAAAGGTGTTTTTCACTTTCTCAGTGTGCCTACTTAGGCATACTTAGATGGAAGGACTATTTGCAATCCTTCATTTTTTTCAATTGTGTCCCAGAATTTCAGTTTGGTAAATCTGTGAGATTGCTAAACTCTCTTATCAGTCTTTCCTAGCAGCTACTATTAGGGATAATAGTGGTGATATAATAAAATAAGTTCAGTTAAAAATGTAAGTGGTGTTGCTTTTCTTAAAAATGTTTGTGGTGGCACTTCTTTCTTAAGCTGTTCCAATCCTAGAAAATGAGAAACTTTTCATTCCAAGAGAAGGTGTTTAAGGGGGAAGGGATTTGCATTTAGCATCTTCTGTGTGTCAGGTTGTGTTATCCTACAGAATCTTATTTAATTTAAACTTCACTTCAACTTTTGCAAATTGGTAGCATTTTTTTTTTCATTTTTACCTATGCTAGCACTGAAGCTCAAAGAAGTCTAAGGATATGATCAAAACCCCACTGTCCTTATGAAGACAATAATTTTGAAGAGTACCTTATTAAGGACACTATTTAAATCTACTGAGTTTCAGGAAATTTCAAATCAGAACCTCTGTTTCATTGTTTATTCTTGTTTCCCTTTAAAGCCTATTTAAAGTACAATTGTGATTCTTGAGAAATGTGATTACATTTTCAAAGAAAAATGGTGTATATATATATATATATACATATATATATACATACATATATAAGCAATTATACATGACATTTATTTTAGCTAGGGATTTTTAAAAATGCATGCACGTAGAGTGAAAGCATACCTCCCAGTTAGTCTGGCTATTTTAGTGGCTGTACCCGTCTTGCCTGCTGGCAGGAGAGCCTTATTCTTATTTTCCTTATTATTTTAAGTGGTCTGTTTAGCCTAATTTCAGATACTTTGAGGGGATATGTCTCCTTAGTTTTGGAGGCTTGAAGGACTACATACTTGTCATATTTATTAAACATAGGATTAAAGATTATTTGAAGTCCCCCATCACCTTATTACTAGCTACTCATTTTAGCCTTACTAACTTGACCACAGAGGATTTTAATTGTTTTATTGAATTAGGCAGAGTTTCTAGAGTTTCTTGCAAGCTCTGAAAAATTTTTGGAGGGTGGGGAGTATGGAGGGTGGACTTTTCAGTTGAGATCATGTTGTTTGATTGATTATAACAACCAACTCATTTTCTTTTCAACCTTTGTTTATTGAACACAGAGAGGAAATGGGATAAAAATATTTGCTAAATCTTATAAAAAGCTGAAAATATAATTTAGGTAAGAAAAATGATTTATTACTTGAATTTATAATTGTTAATTTATAATTGTTTTTATAATTGAATTTATTGAATTTATATTAATTGAATTTATATTAAATTATAATATAATTTATATTAATTGAATTTGTAATTG